GACAAATGAGAATGATGTAAAAGAGAGTATGTAAAAAAAAAAGATAATAATTTTAACAAAGATTATACACACCTACAGAACCTACACCATAGGAAATAAATAAAGTAAATAGACCTAATAAAATTAAATTAAATGGATGTTTTTTACGTAACCAAAATAGAAGAAGCAGCACAACGAAGGCTGCAAGCCAAGAAATATAAAAAAGCAACTGACTAAAGAAAACGAACAAGTTATTACAGAATGAATCAGATAAATAAGAATTGAATAAATTATGAAACTTACTAATTAGTCACAAATTCTTTTGCGGGCTGAAAGTACATAAAGAATAGGGAAATTCCAACAGTTGTAAGTAATTGAAGAGTAAGAAGGCCATACACTTTTCTTATAAAGGCTATCGATTATAGATAAAGAAGGAATGAAGCGATGAATATAAGAACATTTATTACATTATTACATTATGATATATAACTTTTTACACACCCATTCTAATCTGCCTATCAGTTTGTAATTTACTTTTTATTTCTTGGGCTTTTTCAGCCTCGTCAGGCATTTGAATTGTATGACTCTCATCGAGGTGTGTATGATCCTTCTCGAACCCATCACTGTAAGCTGGTGGAGGAACTTCAGGAGCTACTTTAGTCATTTGGTATTCTTTGGGGGAAACATCGGATTTGCTTTGTTGCGATGATGATAAAGTTTGTGAGGTTGTAAGATTTTCGGGATGAACGGTTGAAACCTGTATTGAATGTACGTTTACGCCTCCAACAAGACGATCGTGGCTATTATGAGATATTACGTCTGATGGAGATTGAGAAGATATAGAAATTGATTCACGTGGAGAACTAGTTTTATCTTTTTTTTGTTGCGTTATATTGACATTTGATTTATTATCCAAAGATATATTTGCATCCTCATCTGTCATGTTTTTTTTATTATTTTGATCTAAAGATGATTCGGAGACTCAGCCTTTGAAATACAATAATATATATATATATTATAATCCTTAATTAGTAAGAACAAAATTTGCTGGTTGTCCAGACAAACGAGCAAATATTTCACACGACAGAGAACTCCAACAAAACAAATACCGAATTTAATAGATGCAAATTTATAAAGGATTCAGTGAACAAAAGCAAATAAAACATATTTATATCTTTTTCGACTTTATAGGCAATGCACAAGTCATATAGCAATATCCTATTAAGTAACCATGCAAAAAAATCCTGCATGAAGCTGTATTGAATACATTCAGTATTACCCCCGTACTGTATTACTTTGGTTACCTCAATGTACTCGATGTGGTACCCTGAATAATTTGTGGCACCTTTCTGAAATAGTTTCGAAACAATATACATCGTACGTACCTATGTGTACCTATGTATGTACAAACCTACGTATTTTTTGAATTCTTGGCTTCTTATTCTAACTATTTTTAAAATGTTAACTTATAAAAGTCATGGTTTGGTTAAAAAATAGTACAATAGATAATTAATAATAATTATAGAAATTTTATTAGTTACACGTAGTGTTAATTACAAATTCG